TTTGATTTTTGTGTGATTGTTTGGAGGGTGATCGTCATAAAATTTAGCCAATGAAATCAAAATCACAATGTGATAAACGAATGTCCATTATGCTCATTATGCTATATAGTACAAATATGATTTTCATCAAAATATTGCCACCACCGTTAAAAATTACATTAGTAAATTTGATATAAGCTTGCAAATGTTTTAACAAAGTTATTGAACGAATCAGATTATTATGATGTAGAAATTAGTATTGGTGTGGACCAGGATGTTAAAATTTTTAAAGCTCATTCTATCATTTTAAAAGCAAGGTCTTTGTATTTTGAAGCAGCATTATCAAATAATTGGATAAAAAGATCTGACGATGGCATTATTTTATTTAAAAAAGAAATCATATCTCCAAAGTTATTTTAACGTATGTATGTTATTTGGTTTCCTTACTTGATTTAATAATTTTTATTTAATAAACTTGTAAAATTTATTTTCAAAAGGTATATTTATAATGGAATTGCTATTGTGGACAACCTGGATCCAGATGAAAATTTTGAACTTATCGATGCAAGTGATGAATTATCTTTTGATGAATTGATTGATTGTTTACAAAATCATTTAATCGTTGAACAAAATGAATGAATTAAACAAAATATAGTTAATATTTATGAAACTTCATCAAATAATCAATCATTCGGTTTGCTTCATGATTATTTTGGCGAATTAATTTGTGAAAATCCCGAGTTATTTTTTAAATCTAATGATTTCAGAGATATTGAAAAATCAGTGCTTAAATCCATATTGGAAAAAGATGATTTAATTACGGATGAGATTGATATCCTGGAATCATGTTATTATTCATTGGGGAGTGAAACAAATCAAAAACTTTGTAGAAGAAAAAAGAAAAAAACCAATCGAGTCAGGACAGCTCCTGCCAAAACATAAGAAACCAAAGATAAACAAATTAGATGAACCTATATCAGAGTGGAATGATGATGATTTAATTAAGTTAAAACCCGTATTACAAGATATCATTTCCATTAATAAGATTCTATCGAATTTCTAAAAGTAGCTTTAAAGAGAACATAGAACATTATAAAGAAGCAATTGACAGTGAATTATATAAAGAGGTTCTTCAATATTATGTCATTAATGAGTGGCAACCAATGTTATTGCTCCAAAAAAAAGTCCAGCACCTAGGAAAGCGAATATATTAAATTTAAAGATGAAATCTTTAATTTCTAATTGGATCAATGAAAACGATGACTCATGTAAAAACAAATTTCTATATAAATGAGAATTGTTGTTTCGTGGGACTAGAGACCGATTTTCTAGATCAACGTTTCAGGAGAAATGTTACAACATTGAAAAAACAGCTGTTGTTATGAAAATCAAAGAAACAGGTGAATTAGTTGGCGGCTACAACCCAGTTTGTTGGAATATAAAGACAGGTCTCCAGATGATTGTTATTGGATTGAAACAAACAAAAGTTTTATTTTTAAGATAGATGAAAATCAATATTAAGTAGAATTTACGAGCAATGTTACATAGTGCAAAGTTTGTTGATTATGCATTTGATAACATACTGTTTTATGAAATTTTTATAGAATTTAACGATCTGGCTTTATTTAACAACATTCACAATGAACCTTATTGTTATTATCATTTTTATGGAAATGGTTATGAGAAAGGATTGAAACTTAGAAATTCTAGAAGCGTTCAATTATTGGAACAAAGAAATATTAGACTAGCATGAGGTGATTCATATATAACATTTCTAACTTTAACAAAATTTTTTAATTTTTAACTAATAAAATTATATATATGTATATATATATTTTTTTTTTTGAATAATTGAAGCCAATGTCAATGATCGTTAACTGCTAAAGCAAAATTGAGTCAACAATTGAAAAGAATATTATATTAATTAATTACACTTTTGTTTAATTTAAACTTGTATTTATGATAAAAAATCATCAATATAAAAATACATTGTCTAATCATTTATAGAGAGACTTTGATAAAACATAGAGTCTTGGATCATATATATCCAATGTTGTATCGTTTTCTCTTCATTGTTTTTATAAAATATTTACAACATGGTTTGTATATTAATATCAATCAATACTGATTTTCATGTAAAAAAAAATATGCTTTATTAATTGATTGATTATGATGAATTAGAATTGACAAGTAATTATTTACCCTAATTAATGTTTCTTTAATAATTTATAGATTTCAACTTCCTCTACCAAATCAAGATCTGGATATTTTCAGAACGAAAGCAATAAGGTTCACTAACGCTATTAAATAATGCTAAATTACTAAACTCTAGAAAAACTTCAATAATTTCTACACCACCAAAGACGCAATTAACAAATACACCATCATTAACATATATTTCATAGAATCTGTCCAATTTCGAATTACTTATTTGACCTTCATCAATTTCGAAAGTGAAAAAGTCACCTGTTATTTCATATTCTTCGTCTGGAGACATATCTTTTATATTCCAGCAGACCGAATTATAGCCACCAACCAGTTCACCAGTTTCTTTTATTTTCATGATGACTATAGTTTTCTCGATATTAAAACATTTATCCTGAAAAACTTTCTTAGAAAACCCATCCTGAGAACCACGAAGGATTAATGAAAAATCATATGGTAAATTGTTGCTGTTATATATTTCACTGCCTTCGATCCAGCTAGAAATTAAACATTTTCTTTTTAAACTTAGTAAACTTTTCCTTCTTGGGCCTTTTTGGATTAATAAATTTGCTTTCCACTTATCACTGTTAAGATAATATTCAATGAGTTCTATATAAATTTCATTATTAAAAATACTTCTAAATGGTTTAATTTTATCGTAGAAATCACATGAAGCAATTTGATTGAATCTTATTAATGGAATGAATTCTTCCAATACAGTTTTTAACTTAATTAAATCATCATCATTCCACTCTGATATAGGTTCATCTAATTTGTCTATCTTTGGTTTCTTATGCTTTGGCAAGAGCTCTCCTGACTCGATTGTTTTTTTCCTTTTTTCTTCCTCCAAGTTTTCGATCTGTTTCATTCCCCATTGAATAACATGATCCCAGATATCAATTTCATCCATACATAAATCATCTTTTTCCAATATGTATTTAAGCACTGATTTTTCAATATCTCTGAAATCATTAGATTTTTAAAAATAACTCGGGATTTTCATAACAATAATCTTGGAGTAAGTTGAATGATTGATGTTCTGATGAAATTTTACAAAGATAAATCATATTTTGTTGGATCCATTTTATTCCTTTTTTTATCAAGTGATCTTGTAAACCCGCAATCAATTCATTAAAACATAATTCGTCGCATGCTTCGAGAAGCTCAAAAATTTCATTTGGATCCAGTTTATCTACATTAACAATCCCGTTATAAATATATCTTTTGAGAATAAAAAAAAAATAAAAAAATAAATATTATTGAAAATAAAAAATATTAAATGAATATTTTAAATCAAATTTAAACACACGTTAAAAGAACTTCGAATATTTTTGGAGAAATATTTTCTTTCTCAAACACCATAACTCCATCTTGAGATCTTTTTACCCAATGATCTGCCAAAGCCGCCTTAAAATACGAAGATCTTGCTTTTAAAATGTTAGTGTGAGCTTTAAAGGTTTTAAGATCCTGACCAACTCCAACTCTGATTTCTATGTCATGATGATCTGATTCGGATAAAAGGCTTGAAAAATCATTAATAAACTTGCTAATGCATTTTAAAGGTAAAGCATCAATATCGGAACTTATAAGCTTTTCAATTAATATGTTTATATTCTCTAAGGAAGAAAAAGACATTTTGAGAAAATTGCAATTTTGTGTTGAGAGTTATTATATCCTAGAAAATTGGATCCGGTTTATTTTCGTCAAACCGGATTGGACAATCTTTATAAAATGAAAATGTCTGATACGTCTCAACCAGGGCTGGCAGTGTAAAGGACTAAAATCCTAATTTACTAATAATTGTCCTGATGACTAATTTAGTCAGTTTAGCCCAGTACTCATTTGAGTTACGCGACCAGCCCGACCTCAACCCTTGCATTCGAATACATGGTAAAAATCAAATCACGTGTCAGCTCTTGAATTCGGGTGCAATTTTTTGGTCCACAAGTGGTGGAGATAGCAGGTCTGTTTATATGTTTTATAGTAATAGTAATTTATTAGACTGCTCAATCAATGCACGAAATATGAAACATACATCATTGCACAAAAGGATGCTAAAGTGCTTCGCATCCCTAACTATTCAAAATTATTTTCTTTTATATCATTCATAATGTCAACGTTAAAGGAATGAATGATTGGTATAATAGAATTAATTATTTAAAAAGCCACGTGATCGTAAATTTATAGTGTATAAAGTTGTAGGAACCAAGGGTGGCTTGCATTATATTAATATTAATACTATCTATTAGTATCCACCATCATCATCATTTTTTAATTGAAGAATTACACAATTATTTGGGTTAATATTAATAGAAACTGGTTGAACACAAAAGATTGAATCTCAATTATTTTGATATTATTCTAAGGTGAGTGTGGTGGAGTGTACAGCTTCCTGATTCATTTTTGAGAATATGTATATTAATTGATAAGGTTATTATTATATATATACCTTTATTGCTTTGACAAAACAATTGAGGTTTATCCTTTCCAAATCCATCCGGATATTATAAAATCACTAATTATGACTCTACTAAACAGGTAAACATTTATTTTTCAAAAAAAAAAAAAAGGAATTATAAATGGATAAATTAGGAGCGCGTTATTATCACGGGCCATTGTCCACGTTACCAACACAATCTAAATATTAACCAACATTTTATTCGGAAATTTCTATTAGATAAATGAATAAATATCTGGTCATTTCATTTATAAATGGTTTGACTTTAAATTGCTCTCGATATTGTTTCATTGATAACATGAACAAAACCATGACTGTATAAATGTTGATAATTTGAATGTAATTGGTACTGGTGGAGTTGATTTTTTCAAATAATTCCCTTTGACATAAAATTAATTAATATAAACATCGGTACTAATAATTTACTAACATTATTTTAAACTCCTTTACCATCCATCCGATCATTGTCGCCAGTATTTGCTTCAGAGTAATTTGATGATAACTTTATTATGATATAACCTGAAAGGAATAAAAATTGTCATTTCTTAATCGGGAACTCAATTTTGTGTATTAAAAATTGTATATATTAATATATACGCATTATTAGTCGCACAAACACATTCAAAGTAGAGAATTGTCAAACCGAAAAAATGATATATATTTCATGAAGCTTTTTGCTGTAGAACAAAACAAACCACTATTATTATTCACATATAATTTACCTCGAGAAATTCAATGCAGCGAGTAGAGAGGTGGGCAAATCAGTACTATACGTATAGTGAGAACAATATAGTAGTAAATGTAAATCAAATTCCTGTTTATGTTTTAAACATATTGGTAATGTCAATTGGTTATAAGCAATTACATTTTGAAATATCTATATGCAAAATTCCAAAATATCAACGTTCTAGTTCAATATCTAGATGTGAAAACTATTTACGCCTTTGTCCAAATTCCCACAATTCAAACTAAAAGAAATTATTTTGGAGGACATTTTAATACTTCAAATACTAGTGTACAGATAAATTATGACATAATTGAGAAATTGATGAAATTTCATCGAAGAAGCTGATGAAAATTTTATTAAAGAATCAAATAAAAATGAAAGCGGTTTGATTTTTATGATATTTAATTCACTCAATATAATTAATGATTAATTATATATATACATAAATCAAACCTTTAGTTATAAAAAAGTGTAAGTTGAATAAATTAAATAAAGATTTAATTGTGCTTATCGTAATAGCCAAATATTTTATTTTATTTTTTCTTATTATTATATTAGAAAATCATTTAATCAAATTTCAACACTACTATACGTACTATACTCACTATACGTATAGTATCATATAGTGTTCAACTATATGCACCTTTGCCCATCTCTCTAGCAGCGAGTATTAATTTTCATTCCATATAAGAATCCGAAATGCTTTAATATTTTCAAAGTTTTGCTCAAAAGCACTAAATTTAGTTTTAAAACTATTTAACTCTTTCGCGATCAAATCAAGTTTTTTTCCACGAACAATAAATGATAAAATGGTGATGTTACCGGATTAGCCGGCTAAAAAAAATTTCTCTTGACATTCATTTTTACGTCTGGAATTTTAGTGCAGAATTCAATGGCATAGATGTTTAGTTGAGATTGGTCCCATCTACATTGCCTAGAATGATAAAAAAAAATACATTTACTCAAAAAGCAAAATACTATACATCATAGCAGGATAAAAGTCATAGAGTTTCTATTCGTAATACAAATTCTTATTTTAATTCGAATTATTATTGTTCGTTCTATTCAAATAAAACTTTCAATATAATTCGAATACTCAAATACATAACGAATAAAACAAATAATTTGAACCATTAAAGGCGAGATATTATAATAAAAATAGAAATAATAGTAATAATAATAACGATAGTGGTAGTAATAACGATACCGGCAAGCTTAGGACCATCTGAAAAGGTTTTCCATCAATTGGAATTTATTAAGTTTTTGGCTGGCCAAGGGTTGTTCGGCTTAGCCGACTAAAGTTTTTCTATCGGCTAACATCACTATGATAAAATATTTTTACTCGAAATTCGTGCGATTTCATTTTGTCTCAAAGTTTTGATTCGCAAAACTATCACGAGTATTTGCTAATGGATGACTGTCTCAATTGCTTTATTAAAAACTAAAAATGCAATAAGTTTCTTGTCTAGTGGCATTAAAAAAAGCACAAAGATAAAAAACACTTCTTAGGAAGTGTGAAATAGGATTATTTATTTATGGGCGAAGATCATCCTGAGAGTGAAATGAAGTTGACACTGAAAGCATTGTCTTTGGCACGATGAACAAAAAACTGGATATGAGTTGAAAATAAAATACATCATCATCATCGCCACCTTTCACGTTTCTCTTATACCTTTGTCTTAACGTCATCCATCAATCCACCATGACCAATAGAATTTATAATCAAAGTATTATTCGAGTTAATTACAATCTAAAAGTTCAAATAAAGAGGTTATTTTTATTATAAGGAGAAGGATGAATCATCTTATCAATAGGGCTCTCTTGTTATATATTTTGGGCTTTCCAGCACAAGTTGAAGGATTCTTGCGACTAGCGATTAACATGCGAGACAACAATTCGTATCTTACCTCTCAAGATTCATTGGAATTCGGCGGTATGACTTGCTATAAATATCAACATGTATGTGGATAAAGTGATGGATAGTCGATACCGAATACAGTGGATTATAATAATAATAATATTAATTAAATTCGCGTTATAACGGATTTTATAAATTGACTGCAAATAATTTCTAAAACTAGCTAGTTCTAGAGAGAGGCGCAGTCGAATTTCATACAAAATTTTAAAATCTACATTTAAAAAATAGTCATGGTTTTTTATTAAAACATATCTCTCAATACTTGCTAATATTAGATTCTAACCGTCAAAATTTGTCATCAAAGGATCCTGAATATGTTATATTTTAACAAAGAGTGTTGAATTTACAAGGAGTCTTTTGAAACAAATAATTTCTGATTTGTATCACACGTACTTATTAAAATTTGGTAGTACTGGTCTGTCCTAAATTTTGGGACCAGCGGATCTTTCTTAATAAGGAGATTTTGAATTGATTTTTGGTGCACAATTTTATGTATTGTAACGTGTAGACAATGGTTACTATTATCATTATTGTTGATAATGGACTTGTACAATTTTGGATAAATAGTGATGCATCTTCACTTATTGCTTTTAATTAGTTCTCGATGACCCTCAAAAAGGGAAATAATATCATTGTGCCGAGAAAAATCATTGCCTATCAGTTGATTGAGCATGGCTTGAGTCCTAAAATAGATTCAATGTCAAAAATGGAATTCAAGAAAAAGACAAATCGAATAAAGCCTGAACTACTAAATAAGGAAGGACAAATGATGAGAATGAATATTCTCAACATTGATTTATATTTTTGGATTGATTACCTTGTACGAAGGGAAGATAATAATTGATTTTTTGGGTCAAGGTTATTGAAAATTGCTATTGTGTAACTGTTCACTGTTCTTTGTCTGCTCCAGATAGTGAATGTACAATCCTTATTCTTATTGACAAGTAATAATGTTTCTCCTCTAAAGTAATAAAGGTTTTTAAAGATGGAGTCATTTTGATAATTTACAGCCAAGACATTTTAAAAAATATTTTCAACTTATTTTTCTAAATCATAAAACTGACTTCATTCAATAATCTTGTCAAGCCTGAAATGTCTTTATTGGAATTTATAAGGATGTTAACAATAGTTTCAAGAGATAAAACTTTTAGGCACAAATATACTCTTTATTGAAAATTTTAATTTCTGCCAATTATAGACTTGCACCATATTATTTGCAACGAATTTTTATTAGCTTGGCGATGATCTTTTAGGCGATTCAATTTTTTGCTCTCTATAAAAAAAATAAAAAATAAAAAATTATTATAATAATAACAATAAAATAAAATATATGAAAATACATTACCTAGTTGATTTTCGTTTAACACGTGGATTATCGTTATCAACGTTAATAATATCTTGAAAATTATCATCATCATTATTATTAACAACACCAGATTTCCTTTTTTTCCCACGGGTACTTGTAGTAACTTTTGCTTTGGTAGCTTTTGATTTTGTTGTTGTTGTTGTTGTTGTTGTTGTTGTTCCTTGATTAGTAAAATCTAGTGAACTTGATAGCGAGGTGATTGAGTTGATGGAGGAAGAGAATGTTTGATCCATAAAATAATCTTCGATGTTTGTTTGGTGCGAATCCTCGGCAGGTTTATTTGAATCCTTTAAATCAGTAAATTAATGATTAAGAATGAATTGATATTATATATATATATATATATATATTGAATAATAATAATGATATTTTTTTTACCCCTGATAATAATTTTTCTAAATATTCATCTTCTATAAATAACCTATCTAATATTTGACATTCTTGTTGTGCCTTAACATTAATATATAAACAAAAAGAAACAATAGTGTAATAACTATAAATAAACAAATGTAATATAAAATTTTTTCGTTTATAAAGTCCTTAATCATTCATTATTTAAATTGAGTTGCGCATTCATTCTAATATCCCACCTTCTCTTTTTTAGCAATGTCATCAACTATAGTGGGATCCTCCAATATTTTGTCTCTTGCATTTTGTAAAGCATGTTCGTAAACTCTTTTATTATTCAAAAATAAATATATAGTGTTATTATTATTGTTACTATTATTATTATTATTATTATTATGTTAATAATTTACATACACGCAAGTGGCATCTTCTTCATCCTTGTTTATAAAAGATGAAAGAGCTTGATTTAATCCATTTTTTGGTAAAATTTGAAGTGAATCTAACATTTCATCAATAAGATCTGTAACTTTTTTATTGGAAAGTTGTTCAATGGTGTCGTTTTCATAATCTATCGAATAATTAGGATTGTTATCTTGATTTTCTAAAAAAAAAATTATATTTTTTAAAATTAGAAATTAGGAATTATATTATTAAATAAAAATTTATTTTGCATTTATTTTACATACTAGTGTTAGGTCTTTTTCGTTGATATAATAAAATATCTTCAGGGTTTGCAACACGACTTTGGAAATATTGCGAAAATTCAGAATTATTACAAATTTTATGTTCTTCAGAATATTGCACCTAATATTATATACAATATATAAATATTAAATTAAAATTAATAATTGTAAACACAATATATTTACTTATTCACAGAAAAAATTTATATATCATTACTTTTAATCTAATCAATGGGAGTGGCGGATTTGTATTATGTTCATTCAATTTATACCATTCTTCATTTGCCTTTTCAATCATTTGATCTACCTTTAATAATAATAATATTAATAATAATGCCAATAACAATATCAATAATAAAATATTATTGTCATCATAAATACCTTTCTATTCAAATAATTTATTAAATTATTATTATAATCATTAGACAAAAGTTCAGAAATTTCCGAAAGTACTATAGTATCAATAACCATTGGTCTAATGGTTTTGAGTCTAAATTTTTCCATTCTGAATTGACCTCGACATATTTTTAAAATTCCAACATGTCTTTTTTTAAAAGAATAAATATATCATTAATGTATAGTGTTTTAAATCAAATCATTGCTATTGCTATCATTATTATTACTACTTTGGAGCTGCTTCTGCTTCGCATAGACTTGTGGCTATAGAAGAGCCAGGTTGAGTGATATGAAATCCCCTGGCTGAATTATGTAATGGATCAATCAAACATTCATGTTCATGACCCCAAAATACCAGATCGAAAAAATTTGGAATACAGGATTCGGGAATATAATTTGTTCCGTGAGGTACTCTATAAAAAAATTATTAATTTTTGTTTCTTTTGCATAGAAATCATTAACATTAATTAATTAATTATATATATACCTATTTTGATGCAACACCAAAATATTAAGTAAATCATTAACATCCTCAGTAAGCCTTGGGAATTCAACATTCTGAGCATCAAACATACGATGCAACCTCTCATCTCTAATATTTCCCATTCCGTACAATGCCAGGTTTGTATTGCCTTTTTGAATATGTATCGGTTTGATTATAATCTTGTCCACTACTTTAGATTTACCAAAATAATTAATTAAACCTGATGCTGAAAGTACATCCAATGCACAAAGATTTCCTTCCTTAAAAAAAATTTTTTTTCTCAATGTATATGAAATAAATTTATAATTATAATAGAATAAATTATTTTTTTTTTACCCCAGATGGATCATCGTGATTTCCATGAATCGAAAATACGGGGAATGCAATCTTGAAATTTGGATCAATGTGATTCATTGTATTTATACCACCACTAAGTATATATTTATATATATATATTATATATGAATTTATTACAACTATAATGATAATTATAATTATAATGATACCAATTAATATTATTAACCTTTGTGATAAATCATTGGATTCATTATTTACTATTCGAAATTTACATAGTCTATCACCCATGCAAAATTCACGCAACAACTTGGTTGTTTGATATACTGTTCTACGTGATGGCTTATTTTCATGAAAAAGATCTCCTCCCAATAAAATAAAATCTACCTTTTTAAAAAATTATTGTCATAATGTTATATTAAGTAAAGTGATATTGGCATGTTTAAATTAAGTATCATAAAACCTACATCATTGTCTTTAGCGATTTGTAGAATTTCTTTAAAAGTCTCAAAAGAATCATTTTTACAAACTGGATCTCTTCCCAAATATCCTAAATGGTTATCAGTAGCAATCAAAATGGATAGAGTATCATCAGGATCATACATGTTAGAGTCAATATCTTCCATTTTAAAATTTGAATATTTAATAAAAAGGGGAAATAGTTGGTAATAATAATTAATGATTTACGCGTATTTATAGAGTTCGTGAAACATCTGTATTATTTCATTGTCGATTCATTTTTTATTATTGATTAAATATATAGATTTATATATCTTGAAGAAACATCAAGTAATAGAAATAGTATTAGTAGTAGATTTGTTTGCTTCGGAATCTATTACGTACAATTTCTTATAGAATCAATTAATCACTTTACCTCCGTGCACTTGAATCTATTAGTTCCTTAGTTGAAATATAAAAATTAGTTTAATAACGGTTTATATATACAATTAATTTATTACATATTCTAATTGACTAGAATAAACAAACATTCCATCATTAACAGAACAGATTGATTTGGGTCTTTTTCAAGTCGTGTGATAATTTTGACCTTGAACTTTTACGACCAGTCAGCTGGATTTGCGTTTTATCATTTTTATTATCTTCATTCATATACAAATAACGTAACTGACTGACTGTTTATTTATTATTTATTGTTCTTTACAATAAATTACGCACTGGAAATACAAAAGCTGGCGTTAGAGTTAGATTTCAATAGGTGCCTGATTTTAGAATTGTCACATGATTTATTTTTATTGGACATCACATGTACGACAACTTTCCAATCCGATATTAATATTAAATATATATATATTTCAATAAATAAATAAGTAAATAAAATTATTAAAAAAAAATTTTTCATTTTCATGGTTTTGTTAATGATAAATAAAATTATTCAAATAGAAAATTTCTTTAGTTTAAAGAATATTATTTAATCATCGATATAACAAAACATTAAATAAACGAAGAAGACAAAGATTAAGACATTAATAATAATAAGGAGTATATATACATATAAATATTATTATAATGTATCTTTTGTCATGGATATTTTATGATTCTCTAAAAGAAAAAAATTTCATTATTTCTACAATAATCATATTAATATGTTTTCTACAACCAATAACTGTATTTGCTAAACCCGAGGAACATTATGAAGGAAGTCCAAAGGTCTTAACGTTGGGATTAATCGGAGTAGTATGTGTAGTCTTTGTTGTTACTATTTGTGCTTGTGTCAGAAGACGATTGTATGGCAGATACAAGGATAGAATACTGGATATTAACGATCCTGAAATTGCTCGGGCTGAGGCTAGTATGGTTGAAACTTTAGACGAAGCTGCAAGACAAAATTATGAACGTGCTAGATGTAATAAATAAATATATGATTGATTGATTGATTGATTGATTGATTGATTAATATTTATTTAATTAATTAATTTATTAATGGGATTTTCTTAAAAATTTATTTATAAATAGTATTTCAAGAAGCATATCCACCAGATAGTATTCCAACAGATATTACATTATCACAATTTCTTTCAATTCAAGAGAAAGGTGTATCGGCTTGGGAATTTGAACCTGACCTTCATCATACAAATTGTTTTGTGGAAGGTCGTACTGAGATTGCTTTTTATGATGGTGAATGTTCTGTTCAAACTAACCTTCCATTACCAAAACAACAAGAAGTTTATTACTGGGAAGCTAAAATGTTTGAAAAACCCAGTACTACAACTGTTTCTGTTGGATTAGGAACAAAGCCATATCCATTATTCCGATTACCAGGTATAGATAATTTTATTTTTTCTATTTTCTACCACCTGTTATATATTATATATTATTTCATGGTGAATTTTATTTATTTAATTACTCGATTGATTTTACTTAGGTTGGAATCGTCAATCTGTTGCTTATTTTTCTGATAATGGTTTTAAATATTATAATTCACCATTTAATGGTAAAACTTATGGCCCACAATTTCAACAGGGAGATGTAGTTGGAGTTGGATATCGCCCAAGAACCGGCACAGTGTTCTTCACGCGTAATGGCAAAAAATTAGATGATGCATTTACAGGGATGAAAATGAATTTATTTCCAACTGTTGGAGCTAACGGACCTTGTTCAGTACATGTTAATTTTGGACAGTTAGGATTTGTGTTTATTGAAGCAAATGTTAAAAAATGGGGTTTAGCACCTACCATGGGTACACTTGCACCACCACCTGCCTATGGATCTGAAAGGGGATCAATTTTACTAGAGTCAAGTACACGTGGTCGACCTTCAGAAGATACTCCACGCCTACAATATACGCATATTGATACTGGTATTATTTCAAATCCACCACCTGAAGCAGCTCTAGATATTTCATTATCCGATATTACTGTTCCACCACCATCATATTCATCAGTAGACAGATATTATCGACCCAGAGACTCATTTACATCTGTTGTGTCTGAAAACTCCGAGACGTATTTATTATCAGGAGATCAATCTGACAGTAGAAGAACAAGTTACGAAAGTTCTTCTAGAGATCACTAATAACAACAAAGAAGAAATGATTAATCGCTATTAATAAGCGATGATGATGATGATGATAGTAATAATAAAAATATTATTAGTGGTGATGACAATGAATTATTATTTTATACATGAAAGAACATTATTATTTATTTAGATGTTAGGAATTAAATTATTTATTATGTGTGATTTATTATACGTTTATATATGTTAATTATTAAAAATCATCCCTCATTTTATATGCATATTGGATTTTTGATTTATTATTATTATGGATATGATGGATATGATGGTTATGATCATGATCATGATGAGAAGGTTGCGGCAACAAAAAAAAAAACCAGACAAATATGTGTGTGTAACATTATTAATATGAGAGGGTTCTTTAGTTTATTATTAATATTAAATATTATTATTATTATTCATTTTTTTTATTCTTTTTGTTATTTGTATTCATTATTCAATAAAGATGTATATAAAAATATATATAAATATATAAAAAACAAATAAAATATAAAAATTATAAATAAATTTATTTAAAATTTATTCCTTTTGGCAAAATATAATAAATATTAATAATAGATGTTTATTCATTTACTTTTATTACTTTTACATTATCCTGCCTAAATGCAACATGATCTTTAATACGTTCTGACCCTGATTTGGATTAGGATAAAACCAAGCTCCATGTTCAAATATCATTCATAGTTGCTTTAAATCCAAAATAATGATTATTAACAATAACACTATGCTAAAATGCTTGTATGATGTGTGGTATCTTCTGGGAAATTCCTTTTAATGTTCGGATGGAAATATTATTATAATTAACAACATAAAAAGATTAAATTATTTTGAAAAATAAAAAACAATAATGAATAGTAATAATAACCTTAACAAATTCTATTCAGCACAAACCATATTTTATTTTTATTAATATCAATTGTTGTTGTTAATTGTTTTAGCGATAATAAATTATAAATTATTAAGTTGTGTAAAAAGTTAAATTTCATTAATAAATCTTTCCCTTGAATTATAATCAATGTTAATGTATTATTATTATTATTAAATTTATGTAATGCGCACTAAAATTTTTAGATAACCAAACCGGATTGAAACTGGATTCAAAACGAATTTAGAACTTGTATTAGTATTAGTATTAGTAATAATTTTTTTGTATATAGTACTGTCAATTTTATTTATTAAGAAATCAAATCATTTTAAAATACAATTTTATACTTGCCGCCCAAACTCAAATGGCCAAGTTCCAATCCCAATCTCAATGTCAGAGTGGTACAAATCCCAAAATGCTCAATAAAAAGTCACGTTTCAAGTTTTTTTAGCAAATAAAAAAACAGTGCAATTCCATCATCCAAAATTTTTTTCTGTTGTGAGATTTTCTATGGCATTCTTATTATTATTCTAGTAAAGCCAGTAGATGACTTGTCAAAGCTCAAAAGGAAAGTTATTTGATAATTTTGAATACTATTATTTATGTTTTGGTATTAATATATAATTTTTAATAGGTAAAGGTTTTCTTTTTCTTTTTATTATAAATATAGGGAATTGTTTTTCAGGAAAACTTTGTTTATCATTTGGGTAGTCATTAAAGAATGTCAAGTTTTGAACAAACGAAAGTATTTATTTCAATTTATAAAATCTCTTAGTCAAGTTAGAAAAAGAGCAAGATATAAACAATCAATTAAATAATAATATTATTTATAATATGGTGCATACTCAGCCAACCCAAGGATCTACAACGAGGATTAACCCTTCACCATTTGGGATGTTGATCCTAAGGTTAAACCTCTAACCAGTAAACCATGCCCAATTTACTAGAGTTACACTCACCCAGACACCCCTGTTAAAAGGTTGAATCTCATGTTTTGAGAATATAGATCGGGTGACAAAACCAATAAATGAACTCCTATTACATAAATTTAGGCAATAGCATACTGTTAGCAGGATCAGATGATGACGACGATAATTTGGCCGAATCCTTTAATTTCGGGTCAAATTAAATTTTATTTAATCTATTTTTTTTTTTAATTTTTTTTTTATTTTTTAATTTTCTATTTATTTATCAATAACGTGTATAATTATTTATTATCATCTGAATTCGTGTTACATTCCGTATATTCATTTATTATTAATCAATCCGTAGCACATTCATATTTATTTAGTAGAGATTAATGACGACTCTCCCGGAGCGGGCGGAATCGCCCAGGTACAAAGTGAGCGAATTCGCGCAATCTAAGCGAAAACGCACAATTTGAGTGGATTCGCCCAAACCGAGCGGATTCGTGCAATTCGGGCTAATATGTAAATGAACATGTATATAAAGAACTTGATTTCGACCTAATATAAAAGCAACTTTCTAACAAGTTAATTAGTTTCGACTAAGAAAACTAAATAAATAAAATAAATATTTTATTTAAACTATTATCTTCTTTAAACAAAATTATTCGCTAATAACAAAATCAATTCGTTGATCCCTATTCATTCTGATCACACAAATACAAAAATAATTGTTATCACTGTTGTACGTGAAAATGAAATTATGTGAATTCGCAATTCACATATGTGGAATTCAAATTTACATATGTGAAATTCAAAT